CAATACAGTTAACAATATTGCATGCTTTTTTTGTCTGAGGTTCAGTGAAAACAAGTTTACATTATTTACATCATATACACTCTGACGATTGTTCTTATCTTTGTTGTTGTTATTACAATATTGTGGCTGTTGAGTTATCTCCCCTCTTCTTATTTATTATGTTTATGACTTTTTATTCGTACAAGTGCCCCCATTTTTGTTGCTATTGTAACGAGAGCGTGAGAGTGAGAGAGAGAGAGAAAGAGAGAGAGAGCGTGTGTGAGAGAGAGAGAGAGAGAGAGAGAGATGGTAGAATCATTTATTCTAACATTAAAATTTCCTCCGTTATTATATCCCTGAAATAATGCCGTAGTTCACGGACGGAACGGAATGGTTGAAAGGAAAATAATGACAAATATGCTTTGTACTCAGAGAGACTCTTATACTACTAAGACATAGACAAATCTATATATAGATATATACACGTGTCCCAGGCAGATAAAAATATATCGCATATATCTACACAGGAAAGCAGAGTGTAAAGAGAAGCAAAAATTCTTTTACATACAATATGGAGATACCCCTGTGTCTGGAGAAGCCATGTTTAGGACCCCAGATTCAAACGAACCGGATTCATCTATGGCCCAGTCGTATTCCACGAATGAGAAACAGCGAGTCTTGGATCGTCCCAAATTGAGGAGTTTCATTCTATATCTGGGAAAGATGTACTCTGAAAGGGATAGGGTACCATGGACTTATAGGCTGTTGAAGAGGCAGATTTAGCCTCTGCCCGGGCCAAAGAATGCAACCTTTCGGTTTGGCTGCTGTAAAACGAATGAAATCAACTGCCGCTTTCGTCGCTCTATGAAGCAGCGTTATGAAGAGGTCGTTACGTGGCTCATGTGACTTATCTCTACCAAAGGGAGATAATCGCCTTCTGTTTCTCTACACTTTTATCACACTTCCTGACTGTTGTGACATCCGAATGTTGATGTGCACTACAATGGAAATATAATAATAATAATAATAATAATAATAATAATAATAAAAATAATGAAAACATTAGACCGAATGAAAATCTTACAATTAAAAAAAATCTTTATATAAATAAAAAAAATAGAATTAATAAAAACTCCCAAAGATTCCAGATGAAAAAAAAATCATTGATAGGTTCTGCCGAGTGACCATCGAGACGTAACACGTTGGATTTTACTCTGTGAGGGCCATTTAAAATTAACTGTTTATCCGACGCACCTAAAAAATGTTGAGGAACTTAAGCACAGAATTAAATATGAATGCAGTAAAATGATTGAGGAAACTCTCCAAAATGTTCATCAATCATGGGGGAACAGAACTGATCTTTTTTTAAAAAAAGAAGGTGGACATTTTGAACAGTACATACAACAATTAAATAACTAATAAATACATTTTTCATGTTTAATGATTCTTTTAATAAATTATCTATGTGATGCGCGACTTTTGCCTAATGTCTTTGCTGTGTGCGGGTCATTTACTTATACTTGGGCCATGTAATGTACACACACAAATACGGACTCGGACAAACAGAGTTTGACAGAGTTTGAAAAAAGACATTGAAATATATATTCCTCTTCCAATCCTTGTAGGGAACACCTACCATGTACTGGCAAAAAAACACCATTAATTTGTATCCAAGTAAAAAAAAAATGGTTAATTTTTTAAAACTGAAGATGTCTCATAGTTCTAAACTTTTATTGAACCTTTCTAAAATGAATCGTTAATTGAAATATCTTGATTTTTTTTTAATTATAGAAATGCTTAATGACTGTTATTGAATTGAAATATACGCGCGCACATGAAAACAGACATACGCACATAGTATTTAGCCCTTTGGTATTTGTTTATATTCGTAAAAACAATCCGCTAAATTTAGCTGCTTCACTCTGTCGAATGAAGATAGCTTACTGGTAGAAACACCAAAGCGGTTGGGTTTCAGTCCTGGCTTGAGGCATTCGGATGTCTAGTCGCAATGAGGAACTGTGATACGGCAAAACAGTACTGCCTGCGAATGACACACACACACACACACACACATATATATATATATATATATATATATATATATATATAATTATTATGCTCTACTGTGAATCGAGTTTTTTTAAATAAATGCTAAAGAACTTTTGTGTCTGTTCTTTCTTTTATCATATATATATATATATATATATATATATATATATATATATATATATATATATATATATATATATATATGAAGAAATATAGTCTGAAGGTGTGCTATATTTATGGGATAACGTGCTCAATATCAGAAATAGAGCGTGTGTAAATATAAAAGTGAACATAGAAGCCTGACGATTGCATATAGCATGAAACAGACTGTGGCCTCTAAGTGTTGACTTCTATGTTCACTTTTATATATATATATATATATATATTTATATATATATATATATATGCATGTATATGCGTGTGTGTGCGTGCGTGTGTGTGTACCATTTTAAATGGAAAAACAATTTGAATTTTTAAAAATTGATCATTTTACCTTCAGTGAAGTGACATGTTGGGTCCTAGTTGTCATTATTTTAATGGAATTGGCTATTTTGCCAGTACTAGTTGAACAGACAAATATGCATTGATGCTTATTTTACCGTTCTCAGTAAATTAGAGCCCCAGGATAGATTGGCGCAAATATTATTTATTATTATGAAGCCAGGTAATGTTAAAAATAACAACGCACATATTTATCACGATGTTATTTTTTTTTATTTTAAGACAATTTAAAATCTTTTCCATCATCAATTGTTAAAAAACAAGTTGGAATTATTTATTCATCATCAGTTATTAAAAGAAATATAGAAGTCTCTGAATATTTTAAACACTTCAGGCATAACAGTTTCTGCAAATCGAAAACATACCCTTGGGCGTGGTTCTCTTGCCAATATATTTCAGGTGCGTCCAGTGAAGACAACAGTCACAGACCACAGAATCAATGTTTTTTCAAGTCCTGCCTACTCAGCTCACACCACCATTGTACTGACGATCTCAAATATAATATATTCTTAGTTCTAAAACACTGTTTATATTTACCGGCTAAATAGCCTATTTTTGCTGGGAGCTATTCGATAACAGAAACGACATGATCTGTTGATCTTCAACAGCAGCAACCACTAAAATGGATCGCACATATAACTCGAAGGGAAATTAATGACATAATCATGATGCTGAGGTTCCATACTACTACAAACAAAATGTTGGAAAGGAAACCCCAATCGATACTAGAAAGGGCTATAACAGCTACTGGACTTGGAAACGTATTTTTTCTAAAAGAAAAATGTTTTAAGAGAAAGATTAAAAGAAATATCGAAGTCTCTGAATATTTTAAACACTTCAGGCATATCCAAAACTTACCCTTGGGCGTGGTTCTCTTGCCAATACATTTCAGGTGCACCCAGTGAAGACAACAGACACATACCACAGAATCAATGCTGTTCAATTCCTCCCTAGACAGCTCACACGATCACTCTTTTCACCAACTGCATATAACTAGTGGATTGGCAACTTCTCTGTTCCTCTTCTAGTTCAGCAAATATATTCTTACTTCTTAAACAAAATTTTATATTTATTGGCAAAAAAGCATTGGTGTCTATTTTACCGGGAACAGCAAAAAGTTCTTGGTGTCTATTTTATCGTAGCCAACAAAATAGCCCTGATGTCTATTTTACCGGGAACCGCAAAATATCCTTGGTGTCTATTTTACCGGAGCCAACAAAATAACACTGGTTTCTATTTTACCGGGACCGGTAAAACAGCGCTGGTGTCTATTTTACAGGGAGCAGTAAAAAAACTCTGTATTCCCCCATCACTATCTATCATTCTATGTCTCTCTGTCGCTGTCTGCTTCTCCTCACGCCCAGGGTGAGCTCTTCGCTTTGGTATCTAGACTTCATGAATTTAAGCGCAATATTCAAGCTGAAATCAATATCAGCATGTTGTATCTAGTCTTTCTAGGATTCCCATCTTACTCATGATTAAAATCAACATAAAAAATATTCCGTTTTTTTTTATTTAATCCTTATCTATTCTTGCGTAATATTAAGTTGAATTTTGTTGATTGTGTTAGTTTTAAGGCATACCAACGTCAAAGGGTTATTTAATGCCGACAAGTATTTTTTTTTTTATATTAATATTGTTTTCCCCAAACATATATTGCTGGTAATATTTCTTCTTAAAATATTCATTACTGGTAATAGTTTTTTTTCCAAAATGTACTGTTGATAATATTTTGAAAAATATGTTTTGCAGGTAAAAAATTTTCCAAAAAAAAAAAAAAAAATTGCTGGTATTAAAAGCTATTTTTACACTTTCATCGTTTTTCACTTATGGGGTTAAACTATTTACCCATAGCTGGGACGTTAACAGGTGCTACCCCCTCGGGTCAGAGTGGACCTGGGAACACCAGTAAGTAAGAGGTCTTTCCACACCCATCAAAACCTCCTGTTCAGAGGCCTTGCTGCTGGATGTAGTTTATCGTCTTAAACAGGACAGCTGAATTTGACAAATATTTAGTAAAACACTGGATACCCGCTGTGCGCTAGTTAAACCTTTTCTTTCATTTCCTCTGTTATTTGCACAATTTGCTATTTTCTTTATATATTTAATCTCTGTCTGCCTTTCTTTATTTCTCGTTCGCATTTCTATTTGTTCTTATTTTGCTTTTGTTTTTTGTTTTTTTATTGGTGAAGGGGTTGTTAATCACCTTTCTGAAATCTTTGAAATTCTGACCGTCAGCCGTTTCCTTCTCTCCTGACTCTCATGATCATCTCACCCCACAAAACCCCAAATCCTATCGTTTCAAGCAATCAGAGGAAATGACTCCACGACAAATTCAAAGATTAATTTGCATATTTATTCCAGCGTGAAGTGGCTACCGGATCGATTCAAGCGTTCAATACACTTTACTTATCGATCTGAAATAATTTCCGTTCGGGTGATGAGAAGCGGTTTGAGTTGATAATGAAAATCTAAACGAGGCCCATTAAAAAGAAAAGAAAATAGAAAGGAAAAATAAAAAAGATGTGTATATAGAACAAAATAAAATAAAAGGCGAAAATATTGATAAAAAAATAAGTAAAGAATAAAAAAGAATGAAAAACCGGGGAAAAGGAAAAAATGAATGAAAAAGTAATGAATGAAAAACGAAAGAGAATGTAATGAATGAAAAAATAATGAATGAAAAAATAACGAATGAAAAATGAAAAGAATGTAATGATTGAAAAATGAAAGAAAGTGTAATGAAGAAAAAAGTAGAGATGAAAAATGGAGGAAAATGTAATGGATGTAAAATGAAGAAAAATTAATGAATGAAAAATGAAAGAAAAAGCGCCTGAATGAAATGCCTTCAAAGGGCCTGATGTCCTCTTCGAGTGAAATTCCCTCAAACGGCTTGATATCCTCTTCGAGTGAAATGCCCTCAAAGTGTCTGATATCCTCTTCGAGTGAAATTCCTTCAAAGTGTCTGCTATCATTTTAGAATTAAAGGCCTACGAAGTGCATGATATACTCTTCGACTGAAATATTCTCAAATTGACTAATATCCTATTCAAATAAAATGCCTGCAAATAGCCTGATATAGTCTTTGAGTGAAATGACCTCAAATTGACTGATATAGTCTCTGAGTGAATTAGCCTAAAATTGCCTGATATAGTTTTGAGTGAAATGAGCTCAAATTGTCGGATAAAGTCTCTGAGTGAAATGACCACAAATTGCCTGATATGGTCTTTGAGTGAAATGACGTCAAATTGCCCGATATAGTCTCGGAGTGAAATGACCTCAAATTGCCTGATATAGTCTTTGATTGCAATGACATCAAATTGCCTGATATAATCTTTGAGGGAAATGACCTCATATTGATGGATATAGTCTTTGAGTGAAATGGCCTAAAATTGGCAGATATAGTCTCTGAGTGAAATTACTTAAATTGCCCGATATAGTCTTTGTGTGAAATATACTAAAATTGCCTGATATAGTATTTGAGTGCAATGAATGCAAATTGTCTAGAATAGTCTTGGCGTGCAATGACATCAAATTGCCTGATATAGTTTTGAGTGAAATGATCTCATATTTCCTGATATGGAATTTGGGTGCAATGACATCAAATTGCCTGATATAGTCTTTGAGAGAAATGACCTCAAATTGCCTGATATAGTCTTTGAGTAAAATGACATAAAATTGCCTAATATAGATTTGAGTGAAATGAACTCATATTGCCTGATATAGTCTTCGAGGGAAATGACCTCATATTGCTTGATATAGTCTTGGCGTGCAATGACATAAAATTGCCTGATATAGTCTTTGAGTAAAATAACCACAAATTGACTGATATAGTCTTTGAGTGCAATGACATCAAATAGCCTGATATAGTCTTTGAGTGAAATGACCTAAAAATGCCTGATATAGTCTTTGAGGGAAATGACCTCATATTGATGGATATAGTCTTTGAGTGAAATGGCCTAAAATTGGCAGATATAGTCTCTGAGTGAAATTACTTAAATTGCCCGATATAGTCTTTGTGTGAAATGATCTCATATTTCCTGATATGGAATTTGGGTGAAATGACATCAAATTGCCTGATATAGTCTCTGAGTGAAATGATATCAAACATCCTGATATAATCTTTGAGTGAAATGAGCTCAAATTGTCGGATATAGTCTCTGAGTGAAATGACCACAAATTGCCTGATATGGTCTTTGAGTGAAATGACGTCAAATTGCCTGATATAGTCTCGGAGTGAAATGACCTCAAATTGCCTGATATAGTCTTTGATTGCAATGACATCAAATTGCCTGATATAATCTTTGAGGGAAATGACATCAAATTGCCTGATATAGTCTCTGAGTGAAATGACCTAAAATTGCCTGATATAGTCTTTGAGTAAAATAACCACAAATTGACTGATATAGTCTTTGAGTGCAATGACATCAAATAGCCTGATATAGTCTTTGAGTGAAATGACCTAAAATTGCCTGATATAGTCTTTGAGGGAAATGACCTCATATTGATGGATATAGTCTTTGAGTGAAATGGCCTAAAATTGGCAGATATAGTCTCTGAGTGTAATTACTTAAATTGCCCGATATACTCTTTGTGTGAAATATACTAAAATTGCCTGATATAGTATTTGAGTGCAATGAATGCAAATTGTCTAGAATAGTCTTGGCGTGCAATGACATCAAATTGCCTGATATAGTTTTGAGTGAAATGATCTCATATTTCCTGATATGGAATTTGGGTGCAATGACATCAAATAGCCTGATATAGTCTCTGAGTGCAATGACTTCAAATTGCCTGATATAGTCTCTAAGTGAAATGGCCTAAAATTGCCTGATATAGATCTGAGTGAAATGACATCAAATTGCCTGATATAGTCTCTGAGTGAAATGACCTAAAATTGCCTGATATAGTCTTTGAGTAAAATAACCACAAATTGACTGATATAGTCTCTGAGTGAAATGACATCAAATGGCCTGATATAGTCTCCGAGTGCAATGACATCAAATTGCCTGATATAGTCTCTAAGTGAAATGGCCTAAAATTGCCTGATATAGTCTTTGAGTAAAATGACATAAAATTGCCGGATATAGTTTTTGAGTGCAATGAACTCAAATTGCCTGATATAGTCTTGGAGTGCAATGACATCAAATTGCCTGATATAGTCTTTGAGTGCAATGACATCAAATTGCCTGATATAGACTCAGAGTGAAATGAACTCATATTGCCTGATATAGTTTTTGAGGGAAATGACCTCATATTGCTTGATATAGTCTTGGCGTGCAATGACATAAAATTGCCTGATATAGTCTCTGAGTGAAATGACATCAAATTGCCTGATATAGTCTCTGAGTGAAATGACCTAAAATTGCCTGATATAGTCTTTGAGTAAAATAACCACAAATTGACTGATATAGTCTTTGAGTGCAATGACATCAAATAGCCTGATATAGTCTTTGAGTGAAATGACCTAAAATTGCCTGATATAGTCTTTGAGGGAAATATTGATGGATATAGTCTTTGAGTGAAATGGCCTAAAATTGGCAGATATAGTCTCTGAGTGAAATTACTTAAATTGCCCGATATAGTCTTTGTGTGAAATGATCTCATATTTCCTGATATGGAATTTGGGTGAAATGACATCAAATTGCCTGATATAGTCTCTGAGTGAAATGATATCAAACATCCTGATATAATCTTTGAGTGAAATGACCTCAAATTGCCTGATATAGCCTGAGAGTGAAATGACCTCAAATTGCCTGATATAGTCTTTGAGTAAAATGACATAAAATTGCCGGATATAGTTTTTGAGTGCAATGAACTCAAATTGCCTGATATAGTCTTTGAGTGCAATGACATAAAATTGCCTGATATAGTCTCTAAGTGCAATGACATCAAATTGTCTGATATAGACTCAGAGTGAAATGACATCAAATTGCCTGATATAGTCTTGGAGTGCAATGACATCAAATTGCCTGATATAGTCTTTGAGTGCAATGACATCAAATAGCCTGATATAGTCTTTGAGTGAAATGACCTAAAATTGACTGATATAGTCTCTGAGTGAATTGGCCTAAAATTGCCTGATATAGTCTTTGAGTGAAATGAGCTCAAATTGTCGGATATAGTCTCTGAGTGAAATGACCACAAATTGCCTGATATGGTCTTTAAGTGCAATGACATCAAATTGCCTGATATAGTCTTTGAGGGAAATGACCTCATATTGATGGATATAGTCTCTGAGTGAAATTACTTAAATTGCCCGATATAGACTTTGTGTGAAATGAACTAAAATTGCCTGATATAGTATTTGAGAGCAATGAATGCAAATTGTCTAGAATAGTCTTGGCGTGCAATGACATCAAATTGCCTGATATAGTTTTGAGTGAAATGATCTCATATTTCCTGATATCGAATTTGGGTGAAATGACATCAAATTGCCTGATATAGTCTCTGAGTGAAATGACCTAAAATTGCCTGATATAGTCTCTGAGTGAAATGACATCAAATTGCCTGATATAGTCTTTGTGTGAAATGACCTAAAATTGCCTGATATAGTTTGAGTGAAATGACATCAAATTGCTTGATATACTCTTTGAGTAAAATGACATCAAATTGCGTGATATAGTCTTTGAGTGAAATGAACTCATATTGCCTGATATAATCTTTGATTCCAATGACATCAAATTGCCTAATGAAGTCTTTGAGTGAAATGACCTCAAATTGCGTGGTATAGTCTTTGACTGCAATGACATCAAATTGTCTGACATAGTCTATGAGTGAAATGGCCGAAAATTGCCTGATATAGTCTCTGAGTGAATTTACATCAAATTGCCTGATATAGTCTTTGAGTGAAATGACATCAAATTGCCTGATATATTCTCTGAGTGAAATGACCTAAAATTGCCTGGCCTAGTCTCTGAATGAAATGACATCAAATTCCTTGATATAAACTTTGAGTGAAATGACATCAAATTCCCTGATATAGTGTCTGAGTGAAATGGCCTAAAATTGCCTGATAATGTCACCGAGTGAAATTACATCAAATTGCCTGATATAGTCTTTGAGTGCCATGATATCAAATTGCCTGATATAGTCTTTGAGTGAAATGACCTCATATTGCCTGATATAGTCTTTGATTGAAATGACATAAAATTGCCTGATATAGTCTTTGAGTAAAATAACATCAAATTGCCTGATATAGTCTTTGAGTGAAATGACTTCATATTGCCTGATAATGTCTCTGAATAAAATAACATCAAATTGCCTGATATAATCTTTGGGTTAAATGACCTCATATTGCCTGATATAGTCTTCGAGTGAAATGACCTAAAATTGCGTGATATGATCTTTGAGTGCAATGACATCATCTTGCTTGATATATTCTTTGCGTGAAATGACAGCAAATTGCCTGATATAGTCTCTGAGGGAAATGACCTCAAATTGACTGATATAATCTTTGAGTGAAATGACCTCATATTGCCTGGTGTAGTCTCTGAGTGAATTGACATCAAATTGCCTGATATAGTCTTTGTGTGAAATGACCTAAAATTGCCTGTTATAATCTCTGAGTGAAATGACGTCAAATTGCTTGATATAGTCTTTGAGTGAAATGACATCAAATTGCCTGATATAGTCTTACTGTGAAATGACTTTTTTTATCTGTGAACTGTCATGGCTTCTCATGTAAAACATTGCAATGGTCTCCACTTGATGTGTACTCGATTTTAAATAGATAGACGTTTTTTCCTTTTTTATTTCTTTCTACAATATTTTACCTATATTTGTCAATTTATATAATTTATATTCGGAGGCATGAACCAGATGCTATTTTCTCCAATTCTTTTTATGTTTTCCGCTCATCTTTGTGTCTGCATTTATTCATGGTTTCCTGGTATAGGGAAACCACAGTGGTTTTCCTTTGGGTTGAGCTCATGGGAGTTTGGCCCCTTTTAGATAGTAGAACTCTTCTGTCTAT